AGATTTCAAAGCAGCGTTTCACAGTATCTCTAGAAATTCTTTAATTTTGAAATTATGGAATTTGGGCGTCGCAAATAAATTCATTAATGTTCAGATAAAATATTAATTCATAATCAGAATCGGCGGTTCGTAATGCAGAGGCAATTTCCGAGTTTTTTCCTGTGAATAATGGCGTACATCAGGGATGTTTACTAAGTCCACTCCTCTTCTCTTTGTATTTAGATGATCTTCCTCTAACGCTTGAAGGAGGAGTTCATATAGGCGGTACCCGTATCAGCGTTTTAATTTATGTTGAGAATATTGTGCTGCTGGCTGAAGATAGGGTTACACTGCAAAGAAATATACAAATATTCTGGCAGCTTATTGTGATGATCGGAATTTAACAGTAAATCTTTCTAAAACAAAAATTATGGTTTTTAGGAAAGTTAGAAAACTAGCTGCTTCAGACAAATGGCAATTTAAGGGTTTACCAATAGAATTAGTCAATACTTATAAATATTTGGATGTCACGCTAAGCTCCAGTCTTTTATTTACTTACCATTTGAAACATCGTATATCTCCATCTAAAATGGGCCTTAATAGGAATCGGACAAGTGTAATTGCTCAAGATCTGATCCCGCTATCCGCCAAAAAAGAAATGTTTGATGAGATATCGCGCTCCATAGTATGCTATGCGGCTCAAGTCTAGGGTTTTCAGGGATATGACATATTGGAAAAGTTTCAGAGATTTTCCATTAAGAAATTGTTTTCGTTGCCTCCAACATTATTAATGCATGACAGCCACAAATCCACTTGAGGTATTCACTTTACTGTTGCATTTTAAGTATTGTCTTAAGTTACTGTGCCTGCCTGAAAGTCGTCTCTCCAGAGTTATCGCCATTGAATTGATTAAACGTAATACTGTTTGGTTTAAAAATTGGTGCAATTTGGTGGAAAGATACTCTTTCAGGTTCGACTGGTCTTTGGAATGCTTTTCGTTGTGAAAAGACCTGTTGGCAACAATACGGTCTGCAAGAACTCAGCAACATTGGGAGCAGTGTAAATTAGCGGCATTGAATTCTGATCGATTTGTATTATATAGGGAATTGAGTCATGATCTCAAAATTTTGAAATTCGTGGATGGTTGCTCTTGTTATTTAACTGGGCGCGAGTCGAGTTGGCTGTTTAAGCTCAGGTATGAACTCCTTTGTTTTAATTTCATCCCATGGCTTGACAGGGAATATACGGATTGTCCACTCTGTAACCTACCAGTAAAGGAAAACCTATTCAATTTTTTGACTGAATGTTCAATGCCTAGTCAAATTCGTATCGTATTTCTTGGAACTGGTCTGGTTCGAAATAATATATTAATTTCTCTTTTAAATTCTAAGTACTTAAAGAGCACTTAAAATTGTCGGGTTTGCTGGACATGCGTGGATCCACCGTTTTAAGTTGCTAGATCCAGCATAGACAATGATCCGTCTAATTTATTTGTGGTCGTTTTATTCATGTTATTGTTTATGATTTCCCTTTTTTTTCTTTTATTATTATTTCTTAGATATAAATTATTCAAAATATTTGTATTTGTTGTTTTAGTATTTATCAGTTATTCCTGTATATGGTGTTCATTATTCATAAAATGATGTTACTTTTTATTTGTTTTAATATACTTTCCCTGAAGATACAGTATTCTTTAATTTTGATTAATGTAATTTTTGGCCAGATGTGGTTTTTATTTTTTGTTCATAATTGTTATTCATAAGGGACCTGGTCCCAGAATAAACTTTATTTTATATTTATCTACCTTCTATATGTAATTATTATAAGTATTTATTTGTAATGTACCTGTAAAAAATATGAAATTTCCGGCTGACAAATAATCATACCTTATAAATGTTCTGTATAATTTGAAATTTGTAATGTATGTATATTTAATAAAGCATTTCTCTTTCAATACGATTTGTATCCATTCATGTACATTATTGGTTATTGTATTTTGGTTTATTATTTTCAATAATCAACCATTGTGATCGACCAAAAAATTCAAAAACTTAATCCCCTCTCAAAATTTGAGGTTTCACGTTTCAGGTCGCGTAGAATTCAAAAAAGGAATAAAAAATTTTTTGTCCGTCCGCCGTCCGCGCATTTTTTCCGAAACTACTGGACCGATTTTTTTTCAAATATTGATATAAAATCAGAGGACACCCGAGGATGATCCTCCTTCATCGACATTAGTATCCGCCTTTTACTTTCAAAATGCCGGCCGAAAAACCTGCGTTGCTATAGACTGTAGCTCCTAAAAGAATATACAGATTTCAATGGAACTTCGCTAAAGTCATTTTCTCGACGCCCTTTAAATTTATCTATATAACATACTTCAACGAAAAGAAGCTGGAAAAAAGTTACGAGGGATGGTAAAATTAAATTCCGAATTACTCGAAAAGTTTATACTTTTTTGTTGATATTGTTATAGTTTTTTTAAAGTTTATGAAATTTCCTAAAAAAAAAAAAAAAGTTAAAATCGGACAATTAGGAGCAAAGATATAGTATCCGGTTTTTTTTATATGTCCTACTCCAAATGTTATATTCTTGGTTTGGTTTTTAAGTTTTGAATGTGTTACTGAACTAATGCTTTTTTTTTTTAGCATATTACTAATGATTAAAAAAAAAAAGTTTAGTCAAATAATTGGAATCACCTTTTGTTTTTTTTTTTTGTAACTCGGAAGGTAATGTTACTTTAGATGTGTAATTGTTTGGAAATAATAAACCATTGTGAAATAATTTGCAGCGTTTTTTAAAATGTGATTACTTCAAATTGGGGGGCCAGAAAATTACCACCCCCTTTCTTTTATTATTGGTGGAGCGGTAGTCCATCTATTTCATGCCCTCCTTGTGATGTGTGGAAATATGTGTAACATTAGGCATTAACTTCTTTACGACTGATGACTTTTGAAAGTAGACTAACTCGAAAAGTTGCTCCTAGACGTCCTTATGACCGTCGTTGAAGTATCTCAAGAGAAACCAAAAGGAAAAAAATAAAATAAAAAACAAAATATATATAAATAAATAGCTACTATAAAGTATGGAATTATTGAATTTTGAAGACTTCATTAATGGTAGATCCAACTTCTTTGCTTGTTCGTGTGCTCCATCTCCGAAAGACAATGCTACTCCAGACAACCGCTAACAAAGCTGGAAGGAGTGCGGTCAGGGATCTGGAAGGGTTAGCACATTCTGCCGAGCCGGAACTGGGCGGTCGCCGAAGAAAGAACATCTAAAAATACGCTGGGATATGTAAAGCGGATAAGGGAGTGGCTAATTTTAGACCGGCGCCAGTTCCAAGGGCGAATCGCTCGCATTCCACGGGAGAACATCTCCCTCTCATTCTCGCATGCCCTCCTCTTTTAGTATCCTGTATACTTCTTGTACCTTCCGGCTCTCTTCTTGTAGGCTCCTTGTTCTGTTACTTCTTGTACATCGTCCGCCACGGAACATACAGGTGTCGAGATTCAGTAGTCGTGTCAGTAGACCAATGACAGGGTCAAGAATAGTGTTGCCCAAAATAGTTCTTGGTCTTGCACTTTGTAAGACCGAGACCAAGGCTGCCTAACTGTTGCAAGACCAAGACCAAGACTGGTAAAAAAAAAAGTTTTTAAAAATAAAAATTAAGAGAAAATAGTTACTAATACTTAAGAATCTTCGTTACTATATGTAAATAATTGGTATAAGCAATATACTTTTGCATTTAACTCCACCAATTTTTCATTCGGACTAAGTTAGGTTTTTCCTATTTAAAAAAATACAGTAATATCTCAATTATAATAAGCTAATAAGTAACTGCATGACTCTTGAGCAAGACCAAGACCATGACCAAGACTGAGTTTGCAAGACCAAGACAAGTCTCGGTCTCGCATTTGGGCAACACTAGTCAAGAATTGTAAGGCACTATCAATAAACATTGTAAGAGAGAGACACATTGATAGGAAAAAGAATAGAATTTAATCGATTCAATTTTATTTTTTCTAATAAAATTGCGATTTGGAGACATAAGTTGAAATGCAAAAGGCAATAGTATGATCAAAGTAATCGAAACTATAACTTTTGGTCGACAAATAGCAAACATACAGCTCGGAATATATTATTTTTCATCCAATAGCTTAACTTCCTACCACATATATGAAGAAAATTTAAACTATTTGTTCAGATGTTTAAAAAAGTATTATTTTAAAAATCAATTAAAAGTACCCAGTGGCATATGTTACGTATTTACCTTATGGCGCCCCTTATCTTATTAAGTACTTTAAGAATTGAAAGGGACCTATCGATAGAATAACGAACAGAAATAAATTATGTTTTTCAAATAAAATTGCGATTTGGAAACATTCAATGAAATATAAAAAAAAGTAACTGGAAATTGTCTATGATCTTACATAAAAATGTTATACTGTCATTTACCTTTGTATCAATAACATTTAAGTGTTTGTCATAAACAATACTTACAATACTATTGGATAGTTATGCACATTAAAAATGTACTTAAACATTAAAAATTAATATCATAACAAATTCGAGCAATATGTCTAAAGTTTATATCGTCGGTTTATTACAAAAAGTCACCGTGTACATTTTCATGGAGTTAAACATTATTGTGTATATTTTTAAGAATTTCGACCTCATTTATCGATACAAAATTATGGTTCATCAAAATGACACAAAACTTATTACTAATCAAAAATAGTTACACTAATGAAAGTACACAATGTTCATATCACAGTGAAAATAAAAAAAAACATCACGCTTTTTAGTGACCTAAGGTTATGATATCTTACTTAATGACTACTTGAATTTTTTTTTTTTGCATTTATTTTAATGGCATTGGATAAATCTATACAGCCACAAAGAAATTTAAGGTAATGTTCTTAGGTTATTTTTGACTAAATGTATTTCTTAATTGTTTTAAAATATGTTACTAGCCTGCTTATCTGCTCCCACTGTTCAGTGACAGTATTTGTTTATGTATAACGTTGGCTATTGTCTAGGTTAAGGAAAAGCGTTCTTTGGACTCCAAAGTTTGGAGAGATTCGTAATCCTCACATTTCATAACAATATGTTATAGTGTTTCACGATCCATACATGTTTCACACTGTGCTGAATTTACGATGTAAGTAACTCTTGCACAATCCATGATTTGACCTTAATCTACAATATATTTTTATTTATTGATTTATAATTCTGAATGATAGAGAATGTTGGTATTATTCTAGTCAAGTTTTCCTACAATCTTCTTTGATAGTTAAAGGAAATTTAGTATATGGGACCGAAATGTTCACTATTTCGCCTGTTTCGATGGTCTCTTTAGCTAAATTTTTAAATTTATAATTTTTTTGAATCCCTATGGATGCTTTAACCGATATATAATACAAATACAACGTATTTTTCCTTTGTTTAGAAAATTATGTTCAATAGAATATTATCACTGTTTATGTTTTTATAAACCTTCTTGGCTATATTTTATTGTTTTGATTAACAAAAACATTCTTTAAAATCGTAAATAGACTTATTTTAATTTAGATAATTGTTTATTTGTACACAATACTTCATTTCTTTGAATTACTAATCCATATATCACCGGTACCATGTTAAAGTAACTAACGTGAAAAATCACATTTTTTAATTTGGTTTGTTTACCATAGTACACATCTAAGACCCTTGTGGCAAAATGTCATATATGAACGGTCACCAGAAAACTGGAATTAGTAATGCTATTTTTAATAATTTGTAGCTTTATTATATATGTACATATTGTTGTAACGGATAATCATAATCGAAAGTTTACATTAGACAAATTCATATTCGTTACTTTAACCTGTTGCTTTTAGTTCTTATGTTTTGTTTTATTTGTTTTTTTATGATTTTCTATAATTTTTATACCATAAACCATCGCACAACTAAACTGTAAACTAAACGTTCGTACATATAATATGCGAATATTGGTGGAGTATGATAAACTTGCAAATAAACTCCTTCTGAATAGGATTACTATGCTTATAATTTTTTGTTTTTTGTTTTATTGAGTATTAATACAATCTGCCACACTGAAGGGCATAGGTACAAGGGCTATAGTATTCATTAACACAATATGTACATAAGAAAGGAAAATAAATAAAAATAATCATGTAAGAAGAGAAAGAAAAAAGAATAAAAAGATAAAGTAATATATAAAACAATTAACTAAATAAATCCAAGAATTAAAATTTATCACTTTAATTTTAAAAAAATAATTCTCGGTCTGAAAAAAAAAATGTTAACAATTTTTCTGCCTCTCTCAATATTTACTAAGATATTTCACAGTTGTTTAATTTGAAGTAAAACAAAAAATTTTCAAAAAACATACATAAAAAACTGATGACTTAGTTATTACTTCATGTACAGTGTTATAAACTTCACCCCCCTCCAAAAATTTTGAAGTGGCAACGGCTATGAGGATATATTATATATGTTTTGAATTGAGTATTTCGCATGTATTCTATATTTCGAATTCCCTGTTTATAATTAAAAGGTTTAGGTAGCAATAACAAATTTTCGAAAATAAATATATTTGATGAGTTAAATGCGTGTATGTATATATACTTCTTAAAAGCTAGGGAAAACACGTCAATCAGAAGTGGGGAAAATGCGGAAAGAGAGAATTGAACGATTGTTCCTGAAGGACGTGAAAAGTTGGCGGAGCAGTGGGGGCCGGCCCGGGGCCAGTCCTGCCAACGATCCGTCTCCGGTAAGTACTGGCCTCGATATCTTATCTTATAAATATTTATCTATCTGCGAGGTATCTAGGGCGTATCTACGTATCCATAGGGAGAGGTGGGGGGGGGCAGATATCCACTAGTCACATTGCCGAGGGGTATCCTAGGAAACTAGCTTTTGGAGGTGAAAATAACATTTTCAATTTCTGTCAGAAAAGAATCATGTATTTTTTATTTATTACTATTCTAGGCCAACCACTAAATTGAAAAACAAGAATGACTCGCTGAAGGGTCTTGATGGGTAGACGAAAACTAAAGTGTTAATTTACAACATCACAGGCGGATCTACGGAGGGGCTTTCGGGCTGAAGCCCCCTCCTCCCCCAAATGGTAAAATATAATCATTTGTTATAGAAAAAAATATTAAAAACTACCTCTTAAAGTATTCTTGTTCGTCTAATTACATTTAATAGGACTTAAAGAACCACTTAAACACCATTTCAAATAAGTAGTTAATTTCTTTCTCTTTTTTTTCAAATTAATTATTTCTATATGTATATGAAAAAAAAATCTTTCGGGCTGAAGCCCCCCCAAAAAATTAAATTCTGAATCCGCTAGTGGACAACATAAACATAAAACTAACATAGTTGGATAAAATAACATGGACAACATAAACTATCTAGTTTCCATATATTTCCGGAAGACAAGGAAGAGAATAAATAAATAATTAATATCCTAGACCTAATATAGTTAACCTATATTGCTTCATATTGCACCGATCACATATTTTTGTTTCCATCGTGTTTGGTCTCAAAATAACATTTATTTTTCGTGTAAAATAACTCATTATTTGTAAAACATAATTTGAAATTTGAACCATTACTCATGAATAATTTAACTTTTTTATTAAAATACTTGTTCGTTTCTATAAACTTGGATTAGAAATTTTTCACGGTCGCAATAGTTTCTATAGGTTCCATACGTGCGTTTGTGTAAATAAAAAATAATGAGGATTTTTAGTTTTTTTTTCAGATTCTAAGAATTAAATTTATTAAGTAAAGTCAATTTTCAATTTAATAATAAGTTTCTTCTTCATTTCTAGGTCAAGGTTTCAGATGTTTTGTCTGTCTTTAAGGCCCTCTTTCTTAAAAGGAACCATAAACATTAAAAAACAAAATAAACAACAATCTCTAATAAACAACAACAGGGGCGGTGGGGGAGGAGGAAAATATTTATAAATATTTCTAGACAAAATTTCCAACAAAAAAGTTCATTTGATACACGCGTCTCGATTCCGAACGTAAAATGAGTTAAGACCAATTTTATGTCTTCCTCAAGGTGTTCACGTTTTTTATTGAATAAGAAGGAATTACTCAAAAACTATTCAAGATAATTAAATCTGCTAAGGTAAATGATAAAAGGGAGTTTCAGGAGGTAGGAATCAGTACGAATCCGGAATTCCGAGATATGCTATTCGCCACGGGCATATATACGGGGAGGGGGGAACTTTCGGGCTGATGCTCCCCTCACCCAAAAAAATATGGTAAAATATTACTATATATTATTAAAAAAATATTTAATAATTGTCTCTAAAAGTATTATTGTTCGTGTAATTACATTTAATAGTACTTAAAGAATCACTTAAACTCTATTTCATATAAGTAATTGATTCCTTTCTTATTCTTTCAAAGTAATTATTGTTATATATTAAAAATAAAATCTTTCGGGCTGAAGCCCCCCAAAACTAAATCCTGGATTCGCTAGTGCTGTTCGTGTATGGGTATTGTAAGAACAGCACTGCAGCTGTCGTATTAGACCTAAAATTTCCTTTTACCATTGACTTTATTAAATTTTATCACTGTTTACTTAAAAAATTAAAAAGTGTCTACTTGAGAATGGTGTACTTCGAATTTAATAGTATTGAATATTTTTATGAGTAATTCTTTATTATTCAATAAAAAACGTGACCATCTTAAGGAAGACACAAAATTGGTCTTAACTCATTATCTGTTTAGAATCAGCTCATGCGTCAAACAGACTTTTTTGTTGGAAATTTTGTCTAAAATCACCCCTCCTCCCCCTCTAGAGAACTTAGACACTCTATATACAAAACTTTAATCCATTTTGATATAATTTATTATACTTGTTTATCCATTTGGACTATTAGTAATAGTAAAAATTAATTCGTGAAAGTAAACTCAAGTTTAAAGTTGTGATTGATAGTGGTTGAGATTATAATTTTTTCTTCCTCACTCCATAACTTGGAGCTGATACATTTATGAACAGGTTCTTGGGAAAAACAGCTTCATTATTTTTTTTTAATCTAATGCTTTATGAATTAATTAGAATATTTAATCTACTTTAAAACTTCATTATGAAACTAGGAGTTTGTCAAACGCCATAATTAAATATTTCTCTATAATACATATTAAATATTCTTGCTTGTATTTCATTTGTCTTTTTCTTATTTATTTTTCTTTTGTATGTACACATATTATAATAATTTATGTGTATATTTTGTAATAATGTCTAAATATACTTTTGTTACACGATATAAAAAAAGGACTAGACCATTTTGTACAATCAAAGAGGCACTGGTAATTTTTTACAGTTTTTTCCTTATAATGCATATTTTTCCAGAAGAATCTTAAAAAAAAGTTCTGAATCTTCCATACACCCATTTCTATGAATTTTCATAGATAAAAAAGTTGTATTCTATGATAAAATGTAGTCATTCACAAAATTTTAAATAGATGTTCATAATTTCATTAAAAAGGGATCTTTACCGTCGAATATTAAGTAATTTAGTAAGAGGTTTAGGCCAGTCGTTTTTCAGATTCAGATTAAGATAAAAGATAAGAAATAAACTGAAAACATTAATATGAAAAAGACCATGATATAAATAAATCGTAAACAATAATATATATTACAACTTCATAATTTTTAACTGAATTCCTTCAAAGTATGAGTCATTTTTTCTTAAATTCTTGTATTTTTTTAAAGATATCACATTTTATTTTAATATGTTGTTTATTTACTATTACTTTTGAATTAGTATTTGTATCTTTTTAAATTTAATATTGTAAATATATTCAGAATACACGTTCCATAATTTTTTTTTTTTTGCACGCACTTCACTAATAATATTAAATTTTAAATTAAATTACATACAATTAACCAAAAAACGAGCAAGTTGATAAAAAAATATTCTTTATTTATTGCTATATATATATTTTGTTTGTTTATCTTCGTACTTTATTTATTAAATTGATATTTCGATCAAAATAAATAAACAATTAATTCGTTTTAATTTAATGAAAATATTTACATAAAATAGTCCCGAATTTCAGTGTTGCTTTATTTTATTTTGTGGTATTTGATTATGAAGATAGTACTTGCGTTTTATTTTACTATGAATATACTTACAAACTAACTATTCGATTGACTGATAATATTTGTAATATAAGGAAACAAACAGGTGCCAAGAAAACTTAGTAATTGTTTAATTGTTTAGTAATTCATTTGCTTGTATTAAATTGAATTTTTATTACTTTCTTAATTTTTGTAACATCTCAGTAAATTATGAATATAATAGTTTAGTACGACGTAAGTAAGAAATGCCATTCCTTCTTCAGCCGTTTACTGCTGACAAATGATCCACTAAACCCAAAACATACGTATATAAATATTATAATTATACTATTTATTAGAAAAAAGTAAAGCTCTTAATTTTGAGAGTATTTATTTAATCTTTATTTGTTTCAGGGAAGAATCCCATACAAATAGATTTTATATCTATATTATAAACATTATTAAGCTTATTGTAAATTTTTAGGATAAAATAAAACTACAAATATTAATTCATAATGATCGCTATTAACAATTGCTACACTAGTTCTATTAAAATAAAGATAGAGCAAATTTATAAAAATAAAAAAAAATTTAAAAAGGAAGAAACTATGATATAAAATTGTATGTGATCTAATAAGGAAAGAGGATTCCTCTATTAGTTGTCAATACTTGCAGCTTACGACATAATATTTTAAAAATTCCAGAAAAGTAGTCATGCCTGATATTTGTTATCTCGAGTTATTTTCAATTCACCGCATTTTGATTTAAGCCAATGAGAATTCGAGCTCGGGAACAACGACCCTGCTATTTTTATATTTGTATACATTTTTAGCCTTGAAAGAGTTGTTATCCGCTATTATATTTTTTATACTATTATCTGAGTAGAAATGACAGCTTAAAAATAAAAATGACTAATTAACAGTAACAATTTTTAGCTGATTGTTTTATTAAATGAAAAGTTCAGGCTTCTATATAAGGAAGGATACAGATAAATTTTATCATCATTCCAGTGAGAGTTGATCATACTTCCTCTGATATATACTGTCATATATTCTCTGATACTTATATATTGTCATAATTATAATTTAAATTTAAAATTACTATTGAAAAACTCAATTATAACATGTTATTTTGCATTAACTATAAAATAAATATATTTTGTAATCAAAACAGTAATTAAAAAGAACACTTCACTCCAGTGAAAATATAGATAGATAGATAGAAAGTAAACTTTATTCTGGGACGAGGTCTCTTATGAATATCAGTTTTGAACAAAAAAATAAAAACTACATCTGGTCAAAAATTACATTAATCAATATTAAAGAATACATACAGTATCTTCAGAAAAATTATATTAAAACAAGTAAAAATAATACCATTTTGAAAAACAAAACAAAAAAAGAAACATTATTTAAATGAAAAGAAAACAAAATAATATAAGCATGGGTTGATTTTTAAAATTAAAACTCAATCGATTTTAACAACCGTTAACCTCAGTCGAAATCTGTTTCGCAATATTTATTTCATTGCATAACTCCTATACAAATAATGAGCTAGTCTATAACGAAAAGTTTATACTTGTTTGATTTGTGAGCCACTGAACCTTTGTTTAGTATAGGGCCACTATTGGTCCGAAACACAGGCGGATCTAAGGGGGAGGGGGATACTTTCGGGCTGAACCC